AATATCCATTGTCGCTATGCGGTCTGTTGTCGCCTTTGGGCGCAAGTCGAGACATTTCCGTAGCTGTCGTTTCAGCAATTGCGTCGGATGTCTGACAGTTACTAAGATTTTCACCGCCCCTTTCTGCTCCGCTTTGCTATCTCTATCCTCCATCACTTGCTCTGTGGAATAGAAATGAGGGGATTCCCGCATAAATATGGTTCGAGCGGCCTGAACTAAAGCTGTACTCCATCTGTGTCTATCAGTCAGCTACACATTGACATTTTCAGCATTCGTTCGTTCCTATGGACCAGATAATCAAAGAACGGGAGTGTACAATTCGGCGACTAGAGTTCCACAGTGAACTATATGGAGTTCAAACAAGTTAAGAATTCTTCTTTGCAAAGCCTTGTTATAATTGCAAATGTGTCGTGCATGTAGCGCCACCACACTCGAAGAGAGCCACGGAAAGTTGTCAATGCCTTCTTCTCAATGTCTTCTATGCACATTTTTGCGAAGACGGGGGACAATGGGGATCCCATGGCTAGACCATGTTCATGAGTGTAGATTCCCGACTGAAATGTGAAATAACTCATACCGGAGCACAAAGTTTCCCCTTAACCAGTTGATCCTCTGTAAGCTTACAGTGAAGAGTGATGTCGTACTGGCGCCCTGGGTGGCGAAGATTAGTAAGTGCCTCAGGCTTCTGGTATCCGGTTCGTGACCTCGTCTTTGATTAAGCAGGTAAAAAGACAACTGCATAGGTAGTTAAGTCCACGAATGACTTCTAGCTAATCCGCACGAAGGGTCAGCGAAGGAGGCGGTCCTTGCCAACTTAGGGGAAAGCGTTGCAATTTGAGGGTGCAAAGCGAAGCCAGAAACGGCGGACAACTAGTGCCAACCTGTCTAGTGCTGCTTGACACATTTCTTAGCTGTCACAGATGAGGGCAATGTCGTCAACACTCCAGTAATAATAATAATGTGTCAGCTGTACGTCGTAACAGCGCTTCGCTGCCGTGCGACCACCAGCAGTCGCACGCGGGCTGAGTATACCGCGAGTAACCCCACCCCTACGAGGATTCAAACCCGCGCCGCGAGATTACGGGACAAGCTCGTTACCTCTAGGCTACGGGCCGAGATAATTAGAACACAAGAACTGCGAGATAGCACCATTTCGTGGTAGCTGATCACTTGCAACCTAACTACCTACACAGATAACGTGAGAGGAGTCAACGATCGCTTTGAAGTGGGTCAGAAAAGTGCACTGACACAAGACAAACAATAGTTAAACTGTGGTAAAGATCATGAAACCCAAGAAAGCTTTAGTGTTAATGTGAGCAGCTTTTGTACAATAATGAAGGGCGGTGACGATTAAATGTCACGACCTCGGCAAACCTAAGTACCCTTGCGTTTTCGTTTCAGCACACAACCGTGAACGTTGAGTTAGCAACAACGTGATGACCTGCACCTACCAGCTGTCTAGCGATGCACCAGGCCGGTAGTTTGACCAGTGTTTACAAATAGATAAGGTGGGAAATCCGCTGGTAATCTAATATTATTTTGCTTCCTACCCGACTAATCAGACGGCTGAAAGTTATCACGAATCTCTGGTGTCTGTGTAAATCTGTATCACAGCATCTATGCACCTTCGATCGTGACGCACGTTTCAAATCGAGCAAAAGGGCATTGGTACCCTAAAAACCGCAATAACTACAGCATGCATGTCCTACAAGTGTGATGTGTTCAACGGTAATAAGTTGTGACAAACAGTAACGGCACACTGAGTCACTTTGGTGATTCGTACAAACGTCATCCATATCGAGTGGTCTTTAGTCGCCGAGTGTGAGTTTATCAAATCAAGTCAATTCAAGGTAAGCTGCAGGCACCCGGATAGGTGCATTTTAAGCACTTTACAGTGTTAATTGTGGACGAAGTAAACTGACATATACTAAGATGTTAAATTTTATAAAAGTATAAAGAAGGGGAAAAGTATCTAATGGTGCCACTCGAGTAAAAGGACCCCTATTTTTGCGCACTGCGCACAAAGAAGGACTCTCAAAAGTATCGTCCAATAGCATGTACATCGGTGATGTTGAAGCTTTTCGAGAAACTGCTTGCTCCTCGGATTTTCACACGCACCAATGCAAATGATATATACCAGTTCGCTTACAAACATGGCCGCTCCACACTGGATGCGGTGTCCTATCTTGTGCATTCTGCAGCATCTGCACTGGATGAAAAAAGCGGGGTAGTTCGTCTCCAGTTTCTCGACTATACAGATACTTTCGGTAGCGTTGACAGATCAATCCTGCTCAACCAGCTTCTGCCACTGGGGTTCTAACAAGTGTGTGCGACGTGGTTGAAGACTACTTCACAAACCGCACTTAATTCACCCAGATTATTGGAGCGAAGTCTTTTGCATTGCTCTCTAGTCCATGGGTTTTACAGGGAGCCATTCACTCACCCGTTCTATTTTCCTTATAAATTGAAAAGCTCCCCATACCACCTACTTTAATTGCATGCAAGTATGCTGACGATGTGGTATTGGGATGCGTAACTCTAACCGCTTTGACATCTACTTTTCAAAATGGTCGAGTTAATCTGGCGCTTTGGTCCTCATCCCGAACCCTGATTACGAACCCTTCTAAAATGTCGTGACTTACCATTCTTGTTTCTTTGACTTGACAACCGTTAAAGAAGTGGATAGAATGGAGTTAGGACAGACTTTTGCGAAAACGAAACAAGCCATAATGAAACAATGAGAGCAGTTCAGAGGATATGGGCATGGTGGTTACCGCGCAAGCTGAGTCCATTTGTCTGGTCGATCTTGCCAACGTCAGTGCGTGGCAGTCTAACGCCAAACTAGTCATCAATTAAACTTCGTTCACTTGCTTCGTATTGGCTGGACCCTCCATTGTCAGTGCGCGAGAGTTTAATGCCAAGCCAACTGTTGACTGAACTGTTTTGACTTATTAGAGACGTGCCATTTAGTGCAAGACTTAATACATTTTGTGTACTGCGAAAGTGACGTGTTTTGGTGCTGTGCGCTACAGGCCGAATAATGCGTTGCACTAAGCATTGTAGTTCCTGTGCAGGCAGATTGTAACAAATACCCGGATGGAATATATTAACATAAACCCAGCCAAAAACACCTCTACACGATGTGAGTGATCTTAAGTACCAGTGAAAAGCGCCACTCGGGGGGGGGGGGGGGAGTTCAATGGTTTTGAGGATCAGCAGTGACCATCGAAATGTCACAGTAAAACGGCTAACATCCGTCATGACATGCCAAGTGCGTCCGAGTGTCTGCCAATGTTTAGTGCCAAAGAACAAAACCAAATACGTTACTTCGACAACTGACAACACACTCCCAGTAGAACTCGGGTAAGCAAGCTTCGCGCGTTTAGTGATGAGGAAAAAGTGGATTCCACAGGACTACCACCACTGGAATGCTAATAAGTCCCCGTGCTCAGTAACATGTACAATAGACACAGACAAGTACATGCACCACATAGCATATCCATTGCTTAGCGGCCTTCACTGAACACACCAACTGAAAGAGAACATGACCGGCTGAATCACAGTCACACCGAAGTAATGCAATGTCAAAGCTGAGGTGTAACATACCACTGCAACAGGAAGACCAATGACACGCTACCTCAAAAAAGCAATCATAAATACGTGTGTACCAGTAAGGCGGTGCATAGTATGGTTATAAACCTGTTGGGCTTGGAAGTTGCGCTGAGTTAAAGTGAGAAAGTCATGACCACAAGAAGTAATTTGAAAAGTATGCTTGTTAGATTGCAAACAATCATCACAATCGTCGGGATCAGCTGACTCCATAGGGAAATTGGTGGGTATAGTGAATTTCGAACACGAGAAGTACAGCCGGCGCAACAACACTCACTCGATGCCGACAAAAACAATAGTTTCAACATTGAGTCTGGTATGTCGTAGCCATCAGCTTATCGCGGGCAAAACTACCAATGTAGAAGTAACTCCATAAGTTCATTAGAATGGGGCCACAGAAGCAGAAAGGGACGCGTCAACAGGGCAAAACGCCTCAGAGGGGATTCAACGACAAGTTTATAGGGGAAACTGGTATAGTGCCACCATCCACTCTCTTAGTCGGAGTGTTCCCAGGGTACTCAGTTTGTGTGTTGCGTTTTATCGCTGAACACAAGGTGCGGTGCGTAAGCACATAAGTCAGTACACTATTACGTCGACTTTTCAGAACTTCAAGTGTACGCGCAAACATCATTGAACCAAACTGGCGGACGCTGAAAATATATTCATTATTCATCGACATGAGGCATGCAATTCACAAAACGCTCAAGAAAGAACTACTGACCCAACCTCACGTCCACATTCCCATGTATTAGACAATGGTAGATGAATCTTACAGCTAGACAAAAAGTTTCAACATTGATCACAGTGCACTTAATTGGGCCGCGAAGAAACCGACGCTTGCATCTCTCTCCTCCCCCCCTAGAAGCAACACTTTACAAACACAGTCGTGGATAATTCAGTTATAGGAACATCTGTATTCAGTCAAGGCTATCAACGCTGTCCAGGCACAGTCTTCTGTGGAATTCAGCTTACAGGTTCCGAGATGCGAAGAGGGTTAGTCACTCCTTGTTACTTCGAGCAGATATAAGTAAATATGTACACAAAAATCGCAACTTCATCACTTTTTTGTTGATTGTGGAAAACTACACGGTGGTGAGTAACATCTAAGTCAATGGCGAGTAGACAATGCCGAATCACATTGGGGAAGCCGGTGACGCATGTTACCTGATATAGAAACAGCCTGATGGTACATGCCGAAGTAATACATACGAAAGAATCGTACATTCCATTGGTGCAAAACATTTTCCAATATATCGGACTGGACATTCCGTCTTTACGGTAGGACCAAAGTAAAACGGCTGCAACTGAAAGAGGTATTCTACTTACTCAGGTGAACAGACTGCACGTGGAGCCGGAGATTGCCCTTAAGAGAAAACGTTCTCTCACAGTCCTTACATTTGTGAGGCTGCAATTCTGCACGAAGCACAAAAATAAAAGGTTAGGGGAAACAGTGGGCTGCAAGGAATACAATCAGAACGACCTGATGCAATGTAGCAAACGATGAAAATAACAAAAAAGACAGCACCTAACCTGACCAACGATGGTCCCGTTTGAAATATTCTACCAGACTGCAGAACATATAATCCAGGATTACAAATCCTGACACATTGCGATAAGTATACTTGCGAATTCAACAGATTGACCACTTAACGTTCGGATTGTGAATAAGTCCATCTCAGACCAACAAGCTCAACATTTTCCACGACGCGAAGGCTGAGCTACTTTATGACGGCACAGTTCCGAGTGCATACAGATCACATGAAAGCCATGTTGAAATGTATGTAACGTTGCCTTCGTTGTCAATTTGATCTAATGAACAAGGTTCGATAATACCAATTGATAAAATACGAGTCAAGTGAGACGCTAAACCTTCTGGGGGGCATTTGACAACTGCTGGCACGCTCAATGCGCCTCAATAAGAAGTGGTGCGGCATACAGTGTGTTGCTTAAACCACGCTTGCCCGTTTCGTAATGGCTGTGAGGACCAGATGATCATCCATCGGCCATCGCTGTACTCAATCGCCGGGGAATCGACTTCGTGCACTGGACACAACCTCAGGCAGTTTACTCCCGACAAAATTCTTAGTGTCGATCGACCAAGTCCAGAACAATCATGAGCAGAAAAGCCGTGTCTAAGTGAGACCAAACAAAAGGTACAAAATGTCCTCGATGCTGTTTCCATTCGCAAACGAATGCCCAGTGAATTAAAGATAGCTGACGACTATCTGGTAATGCGTCCACACAATATACAAACCCCATCAGTTGCAAAGGAATACTGTAGGATGATTTGACACTGACTCGCTGCACTCTCTGATGTCACAAGCAAACAGCATAGGTCAACTATGCGTTGACCAAGATGCATCGCAATTCTGGTTGTTGCTCAAGATGCTGGGAGTTACGACCCAATCGGTGGTCGGAGGAAGAAAGTACATCGCTCTATATGACATGGGTATAAAAAAAAGCAAATGCAGTAAGTTGAGTACCAAGCTAGCCGTTCATGGCAACTTATGCTCCAACTAGGCTTGGAAGTCTAACATTACTGGTGTAGCCTGCAAGACTGTGAGTTACAAAGAGTATAATCAGGATGACTGGTGACACATACAAAGATTATACATATAAAAGATTGGACATTACGTTGTATACGTATAATCAGAAAAAGTAATAGAGCCTAACAATGCAATCAGAGCTGCACTCACTCAAGTGGACAGAGTTTACGTGAAGCTGGAGTTGGGTCTTTTCGGAAAAACGTTTCTTACAGTACTCACATGAGTGAGCTCTTTGTTCTGGAATAGAAAACAGGACAATATCAGATGAGCAGAGTGGGAATAAACAAGTAAAAAGTGAGGTGCGAATAGTAGCAAGTCAACGAAAATATTCTTACATTTAGGTCCGCAACATATCCAAGAAAATACACATGTAGGTAAGCCGATGAATGACAGTGAAAGCGAATCAAAATGTCGCACTGGACCTCAAAACATTAACATAGCCAGTCCCGTGACATAAACGCCGGAAGAATGTACCAGCAAGCTAGACGAAGTCTCGCAGTCAACTTTTTTTGCAGATGCCTCACATCGCCGATGCGTGACCCATCGTTTCATCCGGCCGCAATATGGAAAGTGGTCAAATGGTACACGGCGGACACGACGCGATTGACTCCAAAATTTAACATACACCCCAGTGCGGTACCAGACGGTTCCTTCCCAAATACCAACTGGTGGACTTCAGTATCGCGACCTGGTGCTCCCGCTTGACATAAGAAATACTCCACAAGCACTAAAACTGTTGTCTTAATGTTGGCAATGCGACATAAACACAAAAACAGATTTAACAACACTTAAACTAACACTCTCAGAATAGAATCTACCACCAGCATAACCAACAAGTTTGCCAAAAAACAAACAAAACATTAAATCACAAACACTCTAACACACGCAATCCTCAATTCCAGCTTATTGGAAGCAATCAACAAGGTCAAGCGAAAGGAAAACGAATGGGTAAGCATAACCCTCAAAAACAACAGAACCAAGGATTTCAAATCAAACTCATAACACGCCCCTGAAAATAACAAATGCTTACAAATTATGACACCAAATAAGAAAAACCGCACAAAGAAAAAAACAACGCACACCGAACAATTAACTCTAAAGAGCCAGAATAACGAGAAATGTAAACAGCAACCGACTCCCGACCACCACCATAAAAACGCAGCAGATCTCCCACATTCATAAAATGATAACATTTACAAACACCATGAGTCAAAAAATGAAATAAAGCAAGATAAGAATCACCGAAAACCTAAAACAACAAACACCATGGAATAGTATTACACGAAGATAAAGCAACTAACTTCTTTAAATTCCCAAAAACCAAAGCGCATCAACACGACACAAAAATAGTTAATAAGACCAAAAAGATAACAGATCCAAAGCACCAAAATCAAACAAATAAGAGTAACGGACAAGAAACCAAACCCTAGCTGCAACCAAAAAGTAGAAGAATGCATCAAAGCCTTAGCAGGTGTAGGAGCACGCATAGCTTCCAATAACCGAGACACAAACGGATAACACACACTGTTAGTCACAACCACCAATAACACAAACTCCCAACGTAAAAATTCCCAAACACTACTACACAGCCACCCAACAAAAAAAAAATAAAGCCACATCACCAAATCGAGAAATAACTAAGGTAACCAAAGATGCCCGCAACCTCCCACTATTTCCGTAAATTAATTGAAATCAAGGACACAAGGTTGATTCCCAAATTACGAGGGTATCTAATGCTCTTCTTTAATCGAGACATTCCTTCCCATCTTGAGCACCACTCAAATAGGACACAAGTTAAACTTTTCTACAATTACTCAAATAGTTTCTAGACCGATTCAGAGACCAAAACCACAGACTAACCGCGGATGCTGGCACGGTGTATTAACCACTCCACCAAAAGTGACGCAATCCGAGTTTCCCCGAATAATAAGCCTCCCATACTAGGCCAAGGAGACTAAACACATCCCACAATCCATTATACAACCCCAGGTAAAGTAATATTCCTTATCTCCCGCAACCAGAATTAAATAGATAAGCAAGGCATGAGTGAAACGATACTATATTTTGCCTTTGCAGAGCAAAACACACAAAGCACACGCCCAAGATAAGTCGTGTACAATCCTTTCGTACTAGCCAACGACCACAGCAAATAAGATTTGACCTGGCTCACGACAGCCTTAACTCATAGGAACATAAATCGAACAGACCTAAGACAACAGCTGCTACACAGCTACATCTATCCCAAGACAACAGCGAGATGGCAAATAAATAAAATAGATTTGACTTCACATTATTTATTACCTAGTTATCCACAAGTTAACTTTACCATCTTATCCCAACAAGGAAATCACAAAATACGTAAAACACAAACCCATACCACAAACAAATATCAAATATAAAACTTTCGGGGTTTACTGTCTACTAACCACTACCTAGAACTGCATAGACACACTAAATTCGCCAAACACTGCACATTTCAATCCTACCTCGTCAAACCATTCAAACAATCCTCCCATTAAAAGGCAACTAATTACGCTACCTTAACACAGTTTATTCCTGTGGCCATTAAGCACTTAGTCATTGGGAAGGTACTACTATCAAAGCTTAATGATAGAAATGTTGTTAATAAACAGACGAGCAGCAATTGAGACAAAAGCACCGCACTCCTATAACTACTAAGTCCCTGATAAGCTAATAAATAGTTAAAAAGATACAAAATCAACCCAAGATAAATCAAAAACTTAAATCGTTGTAACACAAAGTCTAAACAAGGGTACCACTAACCACCAAACAACTAAAATAAGTCTTTGGTATCACTAATCACCTCGAAGCAAACAGTGTAATCCTAAATAACCCAGTGTCAACCAGTTATGAGATAGTGGGAAATAACATATCACACCTATTCCACGCTTTCAAAAGTTTGACTCAACCACAACTAACCTCCAAGCAATGATAGAATAAATCACTACCTATCGGGACACTACACTCAATAGCAACTATACAAGAATCGTGATGCGAAAGATACCACACCTAACAATATACACACTCATACAGTCTCAAGACCGAGGAAGTAACCAAACGATACCAGAGACTTACAAAAGCTTCACAGTGACACCCAGTACTACCACGACAACCAACGAACCGGTCGTTCAAACTAATGAACATGAGGAGCAACAGAAAAAGTAAACACATTAAAAGAAACTTTAGCAGATCCCCAACACCCTATCACACGATTACCTATCGCCATAGATTGACAAACCAAAATAGAAATCGATAACCACAGATAAGACCGCACACAAAAAAGAAAGCCCATTTAATCAGAAGAAGTCAGTATCAAAACTAGAACACGACGAGCTAAACCCCAAACAATTCATAGGGAAAAATACAACCTAAAGCCGAACATCGAAGTGAACCAATGACCCTCTAATAAATACTTATTTAGACCCACACCTATCACACCAGGCCACCACCACAACAAAGAAAATATTACATCCTAAAATAACTCAGGAAAAGGACGTAATGTAAATGTGCCACAACAAACCACGTATCATCCAATACATCATTCAGCATAGACGCAGAAAGAAAAACACCCGTAATCTCACCAACAGTAAAAAGAAAACCAATAATTCGCCAAATATTCGGATCTCACGACCGAATACCACAAGATCCTAACATATATAATCAAGAAAATACTTTTATACCAGTTGGAACCTCAATAATCATTGTCACAGTACTAAAAACAATACAGTCTTAAAATCCAACCCAAGCACAAACATGTGATGTGCGCATACAATACTTCCAAGACACATAATAGCCACCATAGCAAATATTGACCGTATATAACGAAATAACGAAGCGATTTTAGTCAAACACACATATACACATGGCTAACCATCCCAAATCCAGGAATTATCAACACGTATACATCAGGCTGCCCAAAAAATGAAAACAAATGCTGAAAAACAAAATATGATCACCACCCCCAGATGGGTGAAAAAAGCACTAGCAAAATGACCACCAAACAAAAGTATAGTAACAGCTGTAGCTAGAACACGTAATGACATAATCGAAAAAACCGCTTTAAATAAATATGTCCAAACTATTATAGAATGTCGAAGAAAGGTGACACGATCCAAAGCCTCAAAAATCCTACAAAGAAATTGTATAGATCTAAGTATACTAGAAACCTCAGCCAAATGTAAAAATACATTAAAAAATAAACACCTCAACCAGAATATCAGGATCCAGAGAGTGGTGGATAAAAAGTCCAACCAAAAGCAGCCCCCCCCCAAACATACTAGTTGCCTGACAAAAAGAAGAGGACCCAAGTGACCAAACCCTCAAAGAATTCATACGGAGCAACCTCAAAGCACTTAACCTCAAAAACAGCAGCAACAAATATTTACCAAATCCACTTATAAGCATAAGTATAAGAAAAAAATGATAGCTATCCCATGGCTGGTTACAACATAATTATACACCTCAGAAGAAACAACTTTATGAAACGGATCTAGGAAATTCAACCGTGTAAGCATACTAAGAGCAAGACCAATAAGACACCCTCACGAATCTAACATAAAATAAGCCATAGGTATACACTTGTGACCTAGACATAAATAAACCGTAATATCGAAAGACTAGTCATCATCGATTACTATTAACAGCAGATAACCTCAAGATTACCTCCTGTTTTGAAAACAGACGATCTAATTAACCGAGTCTACTGCCTTCCCTCACTACCACTTTATACTCAGGAGGCTGGGTACTCAAACTCTTCCCATCGTTAGCAGTGACAGCTTAAAACCCTCAACTAATATATCCACTATGAATTCCAAAGTACAAACCCGCCGCCAGCATCAGCAAAAAGTGTACAAACCATCTCAAACTCTTATACCAAACACCCTCTAACGGTATATTCAATACAACGGAAACCTCCACATAAAAAATACCATAGAAGACCAACAGATTAAGATAAGTATCACCAAGCTTTTTATAGATATGCCGACCCAAGATATAACCACACTCATAAACATAAACCCACACTCAAACACTAGAATTCCTAACCCTACGATCTACATGAGATAAGAAACAAAAGTAGATCCAAAGTACTAGAAAAATAAACGAGTACAATAAAGCAATACAAGTAACTACAACCATACTAACGAGTAAAACACAACCTTAAGAACCCAAACTTTAAATTAACCTACCGATAGAATAACATTAATCACTACCAACGAAGACCATAATCTTACAACCATTATATCACAATGGCCTGCTCAGCAGCCCTATCAGCTTCAATTGACTCCCCAGGAGACCACAAATCCCCAAAACTCGCATCCTAATTTAGACTATCAAACTGACATTTACCAAACAACACTACTCGCCCGAGGGCCTGTAAGGCCTTCTCAAAGTTAACAGCATTGGAATTTTAAAAATAATCTACACGAGCACAATTGAAACACACCCACCAGAAGCGAAAGAACAAACACAGGAATAACATCACACCACATAAAGTTCACAAACAAATCATAACGCACTCGAGGCAACGTAGCTCGAGCTCAAACAAAAAAAACAGCATGGAACATAGTAACAACAAAAACAAATGACAACCCTCAAAAAAACAACGAACTAACCCAAGCAAACACAAACATAAACAAGTACTCACAAGCAAACAAACAAGTAAAATAAACCCCACTATACTCTACACTCAACCCTCTAACCAACTCCCTCTCAGACTCAGCATAATCAAAAGGCACACGATTACATTCACACAACACGCCAATCAACCAAAATATATAACACACGGGTAACAAAGCGCAAATCAATCATTTTTCCAAAAGACCCTCACTAGAATAATCCGACGCCACCAATGCCAAAACAACAACCACACACAAAAAACACGCCTCAAAAGTCAACGACCCCAAAGCAGAACGAACACAACTCATTAACGCAAACTTTTTATAAGAACCTCACCCAATACTCAACAAGCTATATCCTGTAAACCTTGTTACAACCAAAAATCATAAAGTTCAGTTACTAGAATCCTCACCTGAAAAAGACCCAAAGTAAACAACGCACAATAAGAACAAACTATCAAAACAGACAACTAATTTGAAAAATACTTAACCACCAACTTCAATAAGTCAGCAAATCTTTGAAACAAACCAACCAATCCAACCTTATTAGGACCCTTACGAATCTGCACATAACCAAGCATCTTACGCTCCCCAAGAATAAAAAAAGCAACAAACAACATAACAAGCGCAAATACCACAAATGACCTAACCAACAAATAAAAAACATTAAACCAAAACACCACATACTCTACAGTCTAACAGACTATTCCTACAACACGACAAACTGCAATTCCAATAAACTAAGGACGACAACTCAAACCAACAACAGAAAGAAAAGACATCGATCACACGCAAAGCAATCATTATTCAGAAACAAAAAAACTTCAGACAATGTCGCTCCAACAATCAAGGGACAATTCCATCTTCTGCGTGTAAAACAGATGTCATCAAACCTTAGATCCGTGACCTACACACAATACGAAAAACCAGAAGAATCTCGTGGAAATTTATCATTAATAGCCCAACTAACCAAATACACCTGCTCAGAAAGATTGTAAACAAACGAAGAAGCAATAACTACAGGAAATGAACAAATACAAAACGTCCTAACCAACTTAGAAAACAACGAAAGAGACAGGTGTAGACATAAAGAAATGCATTAAATAAATTATCCACCTAAGCTCAAACAAGAGGAAAACTCCTTACCACACTACGAGAAAACCAAATCACCAAAAAAGCCCAAAACAAGTACACAGCAAAAAAAGTTAATAGAAGACATCAACGACAACAAAACTAACAGGGCAGTAGGAGCGAGCATCATATGAGTACAACACCTGAACCATTTATAGCTAAACAAGCAAAAATAGATCGACAACAAACCAAACATTACAAGCAAAATAACCTTAAATCACAGCAAATGACCCAAACTAAACAAACAAACGAAAACAGAACACTTCAAAAATGTAGAAACACCTCTAACAACATACAGATCAGAAGTAAGAATAACATGATAAACTCAATAAACAAACGGGAAAATCCCAAACTTTATTGAAAAAACCACAAAAGTAACCAACCAAAAACCCTCAGACAATACCCCAAATAATACCAAAACAGAAGCCATTGCAGAAGCCACATAAAAAAGAACGCCGAATACACATTCAACGTAACACTAAACGCAAAAAACAGGAAATAAACAGAGTAGAGAACCCGATAAACAATCAAGCCAAAACAAGATTATCACCGGCAAATGTAATAACAGAATACAACACATGACTTAACATACCACACAAGACCACCATTGAACCCATCTAATATTTATTTGGAAAAGCAGCACCTGGTGCACAATATATCAATGAATTAGTAACACCAACCTCTTACAGAACAAAAGCACAAAGATAATCAATGCACCATAACGCTGCATCTCTAACACTCAATAATGACCAGCAGCTGAAACCAGACAGCCAAATTTACTATACAAGCTCCAAGACCCCTTCCTAATCAAGGCTGAGTGACGATCGGTTAGATTAGAGGCCCCATCGGAGCCTGAGGTCAGAAAAGCGATCACAGCCTTTGATTGCATTCGTGTTGCTGAACCGGATTCCATTTCACCTGCAATATTTAAAGATGATAGTAAGCTCCTCCACAAAGATCTGACCTCCCAGCTAACTGCAGTGAATAGATCACAGTGGCAATATATAAGGGCAGTCGTCCCGACTTTGCCAACGACAGGGGTATTAGCCTAAAGCCGGTGGAAACAAAATTACTGGCCCCAATACCTCACTGCGGAAGAGGAATATGGAAGAACAGTAGCTAGGGAAAGAACATGAAATCTGCGCAGCAGAAATATATCTACAATTTGGTCCGCAACAACTTGTGGCCAGTGCCACACTCAGCTCCACGCATTGCACGTGTCTTGTGCACTCAAGTGTGTCACGCTGGTGTACGATGACTTAGTCGAGCAAGCAAACGTGACCACTCCACGACCGCGTACAAGTAGCTATATCACTCAAAGTGCAGACCGTATGTTCGTGATCGTCAGGCCGTGAGAGGTGCACAGCGAGAGCAGCTAATCTCCGTTGCGATTGGCTGAACCAATAGCATACGGCCAGATGTCTGTCCACTCTGCGGCATCACACCCAATACGCGCGTAGATATCACTCATGAGGAATAGCCGGTAGCTCTTCGGCACAGCCAGTATCACGGTGGAAAACTGCAAAACTGATCCACAGTGTTATCAGAATAACACGGTGGAATCATACGTCCTAATGAAAGCGGCAAATTTACCTCTTCCAAGTAGCAGACGAAGAGTCATTCGTTGTGGGCTGATGCCAGTCGGTTTTCACACCAGGTGGCTATTTGGGCGTTCAGACAGTGAAAATCCGAACCCATGTTCATGTGATGCTGTGGGGGCACTTACCACCCAATAGAACGAGTAACCGGCAACAGCCTGGGGCAGTGGGTCGTGTCTAATTGAATGCTACAATAGCGATCAAGAACAGCGAGAGTTACATCGTGAACAGTGTAGTGCGTCACTCGGGTCGCTTACCTAGGTTTCGGCCGAGCAACGTGCACACATTCCAGCACCTGATGCTGAGCGTTTCGCACAGAGGCAAGCAGGTGCGCCGAGCAATCACTTGTGTGGTAATCTGATTTAGAGGAATTAGGGGGTAGGTGAAATGGGGAAGGGAAGAGAATGTCCAGAGGAAGAAGAAAGAACGGATGTGTCAGCGACAGTACGTTTTCGCTTATCCACCCGGCTGTATGCAGTAGATAAGGCGATTCTTTTCTTAATGTTACTATGTGAAGGTCAATGCAGCATGAGATCATTAGTATGGGCGCAATTCGTGATTAGTTGTTGGAATGGTATATTGAGTCGGCGTCAACGCCTGAGCAGAACGAATCGGGTCCTCAATCAAAGTCTCCATCATCATCATCGTCATCATCGTTGCACATTAGGCGAATTTGAGAAACACACTTCAAGTATTATGCCGCAGAAGATAAGACATAAAAAATCAAGATACTGAACACGAATACAAAAAGAGGTAACACACTGCTTAGCAACATATTATGCGTCAAGTGAGAGACGGTAGTCGGAAGGGAAGATAAGCGGGATGAGGATAGACAAAGAAACTCACGACACAAACAGCACTCAGGTGAGCTCCGTGCCCTGTCAACCAAACGTGTTCATCGTCCTTCGGATTCCAGCCAAGCTGTCGGGGCATACAAAGTGAAGCCAAATTCGAAGTGAGGGACTTCATTCCATGTTATCATCATTTGGCCTCCTGTCCTCTTCTTCCATCCACAGACCCGGCGCGTAAACAACGCACGTTGCGGAGCCAATGGACTGGACTACACAACATGCAGCCCAACTATCGCAATTTGGTTCGTGAAATAACGGTGCAGAACATTTCATCTTCTTTTCGTGCGCCATATACAAGGCGTTGAACACGCTAATTGCTCCCCCGGTGTTCCCACGGCCCAGGGAGAGAGACGATCAATGGCTGAAGGGGAAGCTTGTCACTGGTTGATTAGGCTGCTTATCAGAATGATCGGCCTAACGCTCCAAGCGTTTCGGCAAATTGTGGATCGGCCGTCCACCATGATCACATATGGTCTCGCTAACACCACATCCCGTTCTGCCAGTTTTGCGTATCAAACGGAATAACGCGATGGTTAACAAGAACAGTGGCCAAGTCGAAGTGTTCGCTAAAATGTACTCCCGAAAAGCAGAGGACCGTGCAACAGGAGTCAGCGAAACGACTCATGCGGAATTGGCTGTGCCCTGACTCTTAGCTAGGAGAGCAGAATAAGCCAACTCTCACGCAGCGGTCTACACGAGGTGGTCGCCAGGACCTCAGTCCACGGCAAAGCATTGGCAGAAGCGGGTCGACAATCTATCAGTATCTAGCCACACATATATAAACACAACATACACACGCACACACTCACAAAAGTTACATCAGAAGACAGTAAATGGGAGTCAAACGATGTACAACACTCATTCGGTCAACTAGCTGAGCTGAGAAATGGAACGTTTTTGCTCAGTAACAGCTTCTACGTGAAAATAACGCAATGTTGATTCGGGTGAAATCAAATAAAATCATGGACAGTGGTACAACACGGGTGGCACCTTCGGTTACACACTCACCCAGATGAACACAATCAATGTGCCTTTGCAAATGGTCCCTCCTAAGAAACGATTTACCACAGTGGTCACAAGCATGGGGGCGCAATCCTGGAATGGGAAACAAACAAAGATGAACCGCATAGAGAAAAACTGCACAAAATCTGTTAGAATGAGGCAATAGCTCGCTTGCCGAACTAAATACATGTGGTGAAAGCTGCGTGGTTCGGGATCAACCCGTTCCAGCAAAAGTTTCGGCGACAGTGTTCCAGGATGTCGTGGGTTTTCGAATGGCAAGCGTTCCCCCGAAAAAAGCCACGAAGGACCGTATAACAACAATGCGATGTGGCAGATGTGACTCGCCACCAAGTAAACTCACTGCCTCTTGCTTCACCTCGTTGCAGCCTGTAATCATTCAGCTAGATGCTGAACTACTGGGAGCGTTGGGCTCCTGCTTGGTGACCCGCCAAACGAGGCGTATAAACCAAGAAAACAGTCACCGGCTCTAAATAAGCGCGCTTCCCTGAATACGCTCCGCTGGCTTGCGTGTCACGTCCCTATGACCGAAGGCTCCTCGTAGGGCTGAACAATTAAACCCCATCCTCGGCTAGGGTAACCGGGAAGCTGTATGCCCACACAACACATGAAATGATGGGTTTACGACTATCTCCTCACGCTTCTCGCTCTACGGTCGAGGTGCTGGCAGCCGGGAATACTATACTTTACTTGACCGCACCGCAAACTACCTATTTCGTTCCAAGTTTATTCAATCATCCTCCAAATTAGTCTCCTAAAGTGCATTGCAAATAAAAACAGTGCTTTTGGCCTCATCAATGAACCACTCAAAACCGATCGCACACAATACACTTCCAACAGTAAGGCATCGTGCTTGCTCTTCCAGCTAGCTACGTACAATGTTCGAACCTTCGTGCAGGTTGGTTCATAAGCTGTTCTTACGCGTTAATTGGAAATCATCACAATCGGCGTTTGCTGCCTAAAAGAAACAAGTTTACTAGACTCCAGCACAACGAGGCGATTGCTCTCACCATCCCCAAATTCCAGTTGCACATTCATCTTGCGCTTATCTGGAGATGCGACAGCGACAGCCTCTGGCTGCACCAGCGTAAGAGTTGCGTTAAGAGCGTGTGCTGAGGCAGCGCTTGTTCCCGGTCAACAGCCGTCTTTGTGCAGTCCGCTTGGGAAGCTCAGTATGAGTTTCCAACCACATGACCAGTAGGTGCTGCTTATTTATTGTGACGGCATACGCTCCAATGGGCTGTAACCCGGAGGAAGCTAAAAACGAGTTCTACTGCCAACTCACTGACCCACTCCGAAAGAAACGCCGCACGGACATCCTGCTACTCGCCAAGGACCTAAATGCGCAGGTCGGTAGACTAGAGGTTCATGAGTGTGAACTTGGGAGTCAACATAGCCACCGTACTAGCAGGACGGACAACGGCGATCGACTCCTATAACTGTGCGCCGACCACGGCTTGTTCCTTACGAGCACGAAGTTAGGAGTTTCTGGCGCCAAAGAGCCACCTGGCGACCCCCGTCTCCTGTGCAAGCTTGGACGGAAATCAACCACATCGCTGGAAGTTACTATTGGCGAGGCTGCACAAATATGGGAGTCCTGCTCTCACCCGTGTACTGACAGCTCTTCTCCATCAGATTTGGACTACTGAAACTATCCCATCCGACTGGAAATTAGCGGATGTTGTACCTGTCTACAAAAAAGGAGACCGGACCGTTTGCTCCAACCATCGTGGCACCAGTCTCATTTGTGTCGCATCCAAACTGCTTGCTACCCTACTCTTGCAAAGGCTCAGTTGCGTACCGGAACAGCAAGCAGGATTTCGCCAGGGTCGCAGTTGCATCGATCACATTTCTACGATCCGCCAGATAGCTGAACATCACCATACGTTCAGTCGACCAACCATAATCATATTCTTGGACATTGGAGCCGCGGTTGACTCTGTTGACAGAATGGCACTTTAGAACAGATTACAGAACAGATTACAGAATAAGTACCTGAAAAGCACATCAGCATTCTCCTTATCATTTACCATCAAATTTCAGAACGCGTGAGAGTATACGGAGACATTCCGCTCACTTTCAATATCACTAGTGGTGTTAGACAGGGTTGTCCAGGCTCTCGATTCTTGTTCAACTTCGCCTTGAACAAGATTCCGGAAACTGCCTTGGGAAACTCTAAGTCCTGCGGTGTTGAACTGCTCCCTGGTAACCACCTTCAGGATTTAGAGTATGCAGATGACATCGTTGTAATTTGTGTCACCCCAAGTCGCCCAGTATGTGCTACTTAGACTGGAAATGTCCGCCTCCCAATTATGGTTGACCTTTGCCCTTCCTAAATGTAAGAACTTGTTACAGGACTGACCAAGTGCATCTCGTACTCTCACTCTTTCGGGGTATCCGATAGAAGTGGTCGACAAGTTCATTTACCTTGGGAGTTGTCTTAGTATTGGCGGTTTGCCAGATGAGATTTCCCTGCATGTCTCCAAGGCTAGAGTAGCTTTTGTTAACCTTCATCATCTGTGGCTTCGTCGTGACGTAAGCCTCGCTCTCAAGGGACGAGTCTACAATGTTGCGGTACGAGCGATTCTGCTGTTCGGTTGTTAGACTTGGCCCGTTCGCAAAAGCGATGTTCAGCAGCTATCTGTCTTGGATCACCGCTGCCTGCAAAGCATGGCTGAAGTTCGACCACAACACCACATAATTAATGAGGAAGTCCGTCGGCGAGTCTTCAAATCTGACAAAGTCCGCCGATCGATTGACAGCATCATTTCCATGCGAAGGCTTCGGTGGTTTGGGCATATGCGCCGCACGACTTGGCCAATGAGCGCAAAGAGAGGAAGAACGAAACACACACACCTATTGATGGACACGCACACACGCGTACATTCGCAGTCAGTGGAGGGCGCATCACGTATGAAAAAGGTTGTGAAAGGCTAGGACTAAACATACACCATCCTAACGCCGAGTACGAATTAACCTTATTATGACACATCGAATACTACACTTCAACCACTTCTCCATACTGCGGGACCCCTGTAACACTCAAGGACACCGTTACAAACACCGGGTCCAAAGAAAGAACAGGGTATCATATAAACTCTGATTAGAACGAAGAATCGTAAACTTATGGGAGACACTACCAGAAAGACTAATAGATACTAATACCGTGAAGTGTTTCAAAACACATATCGATGATTAATTTGAAAACCTGTGCTTTTGTGAAATGGTGCACATGCAATGCGGAAAAATACATCCTATACCTGGAAATAATGACATAAATACGAATTCCTAACCGAACAATGATAAACAACTAACTGACCAAATACTAACGCTGGCAATCCGCAATTAAATGTTTTGGGTTTTTCATAATTCTTTAGAGTTGCACAGAAAGTTTTCCACTTGATCTTAAATATAGGCTCAGTTTCACACAAAGAATTTGGTTCAAAAACCTAACTGCGACGCATGCATCATTTCGGGACTAGGCTATAAAGTCCGTTTTACTTAGGGTCAGGAGACTGCGTTTATCCGGCCTCTAAACATTGAGCGAACTGGTGTGAGCGGCTTAGAAGGTACGAAAAGCACTACCAAGGTTAGCTCAATTGATCATCGAGGCAGGTAAACTATCGCACCGCATTCGGTCTCGTAATCCTGAATGCTAAATTCTCACGCAAATGACGTCGATAATTTTCGCTGCTGGTGTGATCAGTTAAGTGCGTTACGGTGTCACGCACCCCACACAATCTCCAGCCACGACCCACTTCTATAAGTCCACATGCCAGATCCGATGTCGAAGACCTCGAAAAGCATCTAGCTACGCGCACATTTTCATTAAATCTCAAGGTGCATAACTTATTCCAATTTTACTAATCCCTCTTAACATTTACCTTGGTCGGGGTCCTTTCGAGACTCGTATGCTCGATACATGCAGTATTGTAGCACCCACGAATTTAGTCCGACAAGTTCCACAACAGTACATGGATCTAGTATTAGTATATTCTAGAATCACGAGCATGCTTAATTGGGAACACTACATGACAGTGTAGAAATGCGCACCACAGAACTCTACTCCTCTGACGGCAGTTTTCCGTTCCATTGCCTTCATCCGCATGCAGGCGCAATCTATAAATAGGATAAAAATTGGCAAAGTGTGAAACTATATGTATAATTATGTATGTGCGCCCATTGCTGAGCAATACCTTTCTGAGAAACAGAAGGCGCTGTCCCTGCCCCAATGGCGCATCTGAAACGTTCGTCCGCAGAGTTCACAGAAACGTCTTGTTCAGTTTTCAACAACCGATTGGAAGTACACTGAGGATTGAAATCCATTTGGGTATTCTCCTGAGGACCCGAGAAGGCACTGATAGTTTCCCCGTTTGGAGATGCTGTAGACGAATATGCATCTGGGGACTCAGGCTTCGGTCTCAGAATACAGAGACTCAAAGGTTGCCCCATCCGTGAGCTCGGCAGCGTCATCCTGACAAACGAAAACCAGATTAGATGAGTAACCCAAGTACTCAAAAGGCTCAAATTATCCTCTGACGAATGTGACCACAAGCAGGTCCAGAACTCAAGAACAAAGGTGGAGATTAAAAAAGTGAAAGCGCAAGAGGTCTTTCAAAGTAGAATGGAGTAGACTCACTGCAGACTGAAAACGCTAACCAAAATTATTATCAGGCACTAAGACACGTCTAAGGTACTATAACACATGGGCCACGAGATTTTGTCGAGATAAAAGTGAAGTAAACTTAACAGCGGGAGCAAAAAATTACATTGGACATAAATAAGCAATCAACCGTGATCCTCCCCATTCGATGAAGTAAATCGATTGACAGACATGAGACAGTTTACTATTTGAGACTCGAACGCCCGAAACGGTCAGTTTTACCGCCCCGCTTTGTTAAATGTGAGTAGTTGCTACATTTGTGAATATTGTTCAAAGATATTTCGTGACTTCCAATATTTTTAGACGTTCTTCATAACTAGGAAGTTTCACTTTCATATCTGTTATGGTGTTCGAAAAAAAGTAGCTGTGTTCGTACTACCGAGAAACCCGTTAGCGGTCAAAATGCCCACTTTCCCCTAATCCGGCTGCTTATTTACATTTTCAGCCGTCACTATCATTTATGACGGAGACACGTACGGTATCAGTCAAAACGGGAGTGGAAACTAGGCGATTCATGAGTTACTAGTGATACTGTACGTACGGTCTGATAAATTTCAGTGCCCTTTAATACATTATGTTTTGTAGGAGAACAGCTTGTTTGGCTTATGAAGACCTTACAGCTATCGATTACGACGAGTCTGGAGAAGATAATGAATGTAATGATGATGAAGACTTCATTTTCCCGGAGTCGGCAGAAGATCACAGCATCCCTGATAGTCAAAGTTCTAACAATGACACTCCCCATGAGGACAGGAATGAGTGTATCATCCGATTCTGCATCTTCCAGTGAAGTTCACACGCCGAAAGGTGGTACATCGTGGAGAACAGAAATAAGCACACATCAGCATCCTGCCGGTGTAAAAGGAATTAAAATGTTTGGGTTATCACTTCCTTGCACAGTAACTCTTGCAGTGAAGACTATGAAATGAAAAAGCCCAGTGTATTGTTATTTATAACTCCACGAAGTATAGCAAGTCATCATCTCGACGGTGACCAATCCAAGTATTCTTCAACGTGCGGGACTTGGCTGGCATTAATTCCTGGATAATTAATAATAGTCTCCGGAAATAAATTACCCCGCCGGTCGTATCAGGTGGGTCACGCGGAAGAACTGCGTAGATCCATACATCATAAAAGGTGCAGGACAACTGGGCTTGCGCCAAAAAACACAGCGCAGTTGGAAAGTCGTAAGATAAGTAAACGTCCGCAGTGTCAGATTGGTTAGGGTACAGGCAACAAGTCAAGGAGCAAGTGCTCTGTATGTGAAAAGATAGTTTGTGGTTCATGTGGACAGACGGTGAGAGTGACCACCAGTTTTAAAATGAAAATCTGAATAAACAAGTACAATTTTTTACAAGTTAAAAAATTAAGTTCAGTACAACTGTTTTCCATTTATAGACATGTCCTACACATTGTTTTTAACAAATGTACCGAAAAAATAAAATAAAAGTTCGGATAAAGAAATACAGCAATGTGGTCATTTTGACCGATCCCGGGCGTCCTAGATATAACGGAGGAGCTGTGTTCCTAGTGTTAAACCATCCAACATTTGCCCACTGAAGTCTACAGAACACCCACAGTTAGTTCGCGCTTACTTGACGAGTACCGCGATAAACAGCGATAGCAAAAACAACACGGCATAAGTACTAAGCCCAACCACACAATCAGCACAATTAGCAGCGGTGAGCAGGTAAATGAGCAAGATGGATACCACACCAGATGTTATGGTCAGTTGAGTGTTTAGAAGCTGCATGTGGGGAAACCGAAGCTTCTTTACCATAACATGATCAAAATGAGCCTATAATATTCTAGTATTAGCAGTTGACCAGCGCGCATAGCACGATCCGATGAAGAAGGCAGTTACCGAAGTGCAGGAGAAAGTCGCCGTGTATGGGAAAAAGCGACAGGTGGGGAGAAGAAAGGCGCCGATGAAGTGCAATCCATAGAGGTCGAGCGCATGGTGCTGTAACACATGAAGTCGAGAGTGCCTGAGTCAGGTAGGCCTAGTGAGCCATGAGCGAGACCACTCGGGGCCAACACCGAAACTACGACGAATCATGCTGAGAAAGTAGGCAGAACCGGTGCGGCGTTGGTATGTACGCTGCATGTGTCCCATTCAATTTATCAACCGCGTGCTTGCATGCGGTTTTTTTATTTCCAAGTGATTGCTTTGCTACATTATTTTAAGGATGATCTTTTACCTCATGTTAATGTCTACCTGAATCACCTGTCAACTTGTACGCATTGCCTAATCGAAAGGTGGTTTACTTGGTTAACTTTGCCGCGTTTGTTGCATTTTTCCGACATGTTGAGCTCATAGCGGATTTGTTGATAACGCATTTGATTCATATGTTAATTTAAAGAAGAGTTATGTCGGTATGTCCGTATGCTTTATTCGATATTTTGCTTGATATTGCTACTGCAAGTGAATGGTTGTCCATTAACATCCTTAGTGTAGTTGTGGTGGTTTTGCATGTTGAGAAACTGCCTGTCTGTCTAACACCCTCCACCACGATCACTGGCTCCAGGGGGACGGGGTGCACGGTCCTCGTGGCCGTGCTAGGCACAAAGAGTGATTCCATCCAGTGTGGAGCGGATTACTGTCCAGCCACCACTTTGTGCACGTCTGGTACGCATGATTCTCAACAAAGATATACAAGAATGCTGCCGCTGTGCATGTTAAAGGAGTGTGGGCCGCGTCTGTTGCTGAGACGTGGCTCCTGTAATTTGACTGTGCACGTAGAACGATACGGAGTTACATGGTGAAGCAAGCGGCTGGCTTGCCGCAAACTAACAGAGAAGTCGACTGGACGCCTACACACACTTCGCTTATGCGCTGATTGGTTCTGATTTGGCTACACTGGAGCGAGTTTGTTTAACAGATTCAAAGGAAGGATATCATGAATGCAGAAGCGTCGTTAGTTATGGAAAGGATCTAGTTATGCACATGGAAGTTTCTGCATGCTTGTTATGCTGTCAATAACGCTGAGCTTGCTTTGTCGAATAATCCGTTTATCCATGAAGGGCCGAGTTTTGCGAGGACCCCCATCCACATGCATCCCGGTCTTATTCCTTCGAGTTTACATTTGATGTGGGTGATGAAGTGAAAGCCACTTATTACCCCTCTGCAGGTGCAGGCATCGTGTGGCTGTCCTACGAGGCCACAGTGGCAGCATATCTGGAACAGGATGCAGCCAACTACATACATACACACACAAAGTCAGGATAACTCAGCACCCACCCATTCTAGTCAAATGACTTCAGAAAATGAAAACAGTTTTTGACTGTTGCATTAACACGGTTGCAGACACGTGATAGCTTTGGAATGAGGCTCTACACGACGAGTGCAAATCGGGCAAGTGCTAAGTGGACGAATGGGCCTATCGCATGAAACCGGTATGACCAAGCGAATGACACAACAGTTAGCAAATAAACGAAAATGGATACCAGCCAACTAAGATGGCAAAAACAAGCAAACCAGAGATTTTGATTTTTCTTTTTAACTGCGTAGCATTTTCGAAATGCTGTTTCCAGTTGAGTAGGAGCGGATCGCGCCGCCAAATTGGTGACCACGAGTACAAAACGACCTCAACGTCGGACATTACAAACTTCTCTCCCGTTATGGGGACCCAACGTCCCTATAATTATTAAAGGCTGAAATTACGGAAGGCTGAAAACCCGATTCACTCAAGTGCACGTGTACTCAGAGCCAGACAAAACGCACATGTTTCAGTCAGCCTTCCAACTCGTGAAACATTCATATTGTTAGCCTTTGCACCCAGAAACAGTCTTGTTTCCAACCAAACACGCATTGTTGCGCGGAGAAAACGTGAAGCAGAGGAACTAAGTGTCGCAGTTCGTTCGTCCGTCTAGGAGAGTTGGTATCACATTGTTAGAACCTGACGTATTCAAGAGGCAGTATTCATCAGTGGCGAAGGATGTGGGACCGGGAGTTCTGATGCTGGCACGTGTATGTTGATCAGGCGTCCATGCTAAGCACAGCGCCGATATGGGGAACCGGTCGGAGGGTTGACTCCCCAGGTCGTCTAAGGAGGGGCGTACCGGCCCAGGGAGGAAACCCAGCAGGCAAAAGTCCTCGCGTGGTGCAGTAGCGGGAGTTTTTCAATTTTTTGCGCGGAGAAAACGTGAAGCAGAGGAACTAAGTGTCGCAGTTCCATCGCCTCATCTTGTGATAAAGATGAACAGCATGTATCATCATCGCATGGTGTATACATGCTGTTCATCTTTATCACAAGATGAGGCGATGGAACTGCGACACTTAGTTCCTCTGCTTCACGTTTTCTCCGCGCAACAATGCGTGTTTGGTTGGAAACAAGACTGTTTCTGGGTGCAAAGGCTAACAATATGAATGTTTCACGAGTTGGAAGGCTGACTGAAACATGTGCGTTTTGTCTGGCTCTGAGCACATGTGCACTTGAGTGAATCGGGTTTTCAGCCTTCCGTAATTTCAGCCTTTAATAATTATAGGGACGTTGGGTCCCCATAACATCTCCGGTAAGCGCGTTTCATACATTTGTTCATATTTCTGATTTACTTTTG